GCGGAGGAATGGGTCCTCCTGGTGGTGGAATGGGTCCTCCGCCGGGCTTTGGGTCAGTTCCAATTACATCTATCCAGAGAAATTTGGCTCTCTATGGATACATTATTATTTTCCTCTTTGGCTTTTTCGGTCATGCTACAAGTGCCATCATATTTCTTCGTCAAACCCTTCGTAACGTTTCGACGAGTTGTCTATTTGTATGCATGGCTGCATCAGATGCAGTCTATTTGTTAACGTGTTTCTACAGTTTTGTCTTTCTTGGCCTTGGTGTTTCCACAAAGAATACCAATCTCATGAATCTATTGTGTCGTATTTATTCATTTATTCAATATTTTTCTATGTGCTGGTCAGCTTGGCTCTTATTAACCATTGCAATCGATCGATGGCTTCGTATTCGATTTCCTTTTCGAGTCAAAGAATTATGTACAAGAAAAAGAGTACTTATCGGTGCAATCATTCTTTTCATCTGTTCGATTGCACTCAATTCCCATTTACTGCTACCATCAATGGGTGCTGTGCCTGGCGCCATTGCGTGTACTCCTGGTCCCTCGTCAAGCGCTACATACCAATACTTTTACTCAAAAGTATGTTTCTTTATTTGAAATCTTGCCAATTTACAAGACATTTATCAATTCTTTTCAGATCTGGTCTATTCTAATAACTGGCCTTCAAATAGTCTTGCCCACAATATTTCTTCTCGTATTCAGTATCAACATATTCGTTAGACTTCGTCAGCAACAACAACAAAAGCAACAACTGAAACAAGGTCATCGTCGTACTTTTCTCGATCAACAAATGTTAATAATTATGCTCGCTAGTATTTTTCTCTTTTTTGTCACACAAATCCCATTAGGTCTCTTCCATATTCTTATGATTTATGTTCTTCGACCGAGACTTTCACTACAACAACAACTTGAATTGAATACTATTTCCATTTTTGTTGCTTCGATCAATTATTCAGTAAATTTAATAATATTAGTTTTCGAATTATTTTCATCATATTACACTTTATTTTAGGCTTCATTCTACATTCATTGCTTAACAAGTCGACTGTTTCGTCAAGAATTTTTCAATGTAATACATATTATTCGTAATCGTCGTATAGGTGTTGTAACACAAATTTTGGGACCTGTAACCACCACTCATACACAAATGCAAACTCGACTAACTCGTTTGCAAGAAAGAAAATCCACGAAAGCATAGACATTCAACTTTCTGTAGTGTCCTTCTTTTTTTGTCATTATTCAATAAAATTTTTAAAACTATCAATTTTTTTCAAATGATATTCAAGAATTGATCAAAATGTATTCATTGTATCTGCGTGCTATATGACAGTTTTTCACTCGGCTCGGTATCAAATCAACGAGTTTTGAGGTAGTCTTTTCTTGTCTACAGATGTATTCTGAGAAGTACGAGCTGGTGAATAGTATGAACCACCATCGATCACTAACATTGTCAATCAGATCATATCTTTGGTGCAATTGAATCTTAAACAGCATGGTAAATCGAATTGTTAATCGAAAGATACATTAGAGTAATTGCATCGAATGTAAGTTTGACTAATGACATCTTATCCTTTTCTGCAGAGTGATGAACATCTGTTCGATTTGATCAATTGAACTAGAGACACAAAGCTCTAGAAAAATCATACGCACATTTAAATATGGAGCAATAAGAAACAACCTCACCCTCAGCTACCTCCACGGCATCATTGCCAATTACATGTACCATTCTGTTCTCTTCATCATTAACTAAAGAATATAGAAAATTTTTATAAAGACCTCAATGTGATCATATCCATTTAAGATGCATATAATCCCTTTATAATACGTTCACATACTATATTGGTCGAAGCAGAGACAAGAATAGCATTTTTTTTTTAAATGAATAGTAATGTCAGCTGTCTCAGTAGTTAGTCATATTTTTCTTTATTATGAACTATGAGTTTTTTTTCGTTGGAGAAAAAACATGCTTCTATTATTCCTCAAAATTTTTTGCGAAACTTTGAAATCCTTGAATGGTAAAATCATTGACCATAATTTCGTCGGAACTATTTTTCGATGTTTGATGTGATACACTCGAGATCTTGAATTGATTTTTCTATGTAGATGTCGTTTGTTTTTCTGTCGTCTACAGATGGTACTTTGCTATAAACTAAAAAATATAATTCCTTCATTTTTTCCCCAGAAATATTCAAGACTGGAAAAGGGTGTGGGTGTTTCTTTTCTTCATCCACATCCCACATCCACACTCATACATCCTCATGTGGCACCTAATTGATCATATTATGGAAAAAAAATCTGAGTATGCCTCCACAAAGACATCGCGAAGAATCACTAGGATGAATAATTTCGGCAATATTACAATAAAATACTGTATATCAAATAGGATGTGGGCGTAGGTATTTCTCTGATTTTGAGTGTTCAGTTTACCGACACCCTAATCAATAATGCTCGGTAGAGCAGACTATTTCTTCAATTTATTAAGAAATTTTAATTCATTTTAATTGGATTTTCCTGCGAAAAGTGGAAGAGAGGTTCGTATAAAAAATGAGATTTGTACACCGATCATCAACAGTTATCGCTATTTTCTTAGATATATTTTTCACTAGGTTATGGTATCAGAAATATTCGTTTCAATAGAAAATACCACTCTCTTTCTAGAAAATCAGACGCTTTCTGGTTGTTTTCACATTAATTCAACGATTTAAAGCATTTGCTGCTTACAATAACCAACATCATATAAACAAAAGCTAGATAAAGTACCAGAAAGAGCAGTCAATCGCACTCAGAAACAAACATGATTTTTTTCGAGCTAATTCTGTGCACTTTCTAAAATGATGTATTTTAAATCTTTTTACCAAACAATACAAACGACGAAATTTAAAAAAATTGACTCTAGATATTTCTATTGACTTGATTCAAGGGTTGTGTCGGTTGTCTCTTCTTTATTGGCAATAAAAGTTTCTGTCATAAGAAATGATTTTAAAAAAATAACTTTATCGCTATGCAAATGTTTAATGTTTTCTTTAGGATGATTGACACATGTGATATTGCCCAGCAAATATTTATTGACTTCCTATAACAATATATATAGATATTGCGCATTCCGAAAGAATTGATAAGTGGATTATATAAATTGTATGTCCTGGATCATAAACTATCATTGAACTTTTTACTGATCCGAGATAAAATGTTATTCATTATCTTATTGTTGATACTCATACAAGTTTTTCCTGGACCCATTGTGAGTCTCAAATGCATTGCTTCCACTACTTATAAAGAAAAAGTTAATGAAATTGATCTTTCTCAAGTTAGGAAAGATCTCTACTCACTCAAAGAAACAAACTCAAACGACGTTCATCGGTGCATAGTTCAAATGTATGTGATCGAAATATACAATGAAATGATTATTAAATTTGGAAGTGATACGTCTTTATCGGTTGATCTGTACGATGAAGAAGTATTTTTTCAAACCATCATAAGCTTCAACGCCGATAGTGCAACGACGGCCGAGCCACCCATTATTGTAAAAACTCTAGAATATACTTGTTCCAAATACGACGAATGCGATCGAAAATTTATTCTTGAGCACGTGAGATGGATGGCCGAAGAACATTACAAGCACTTGGCAATAGCAGTGAAACCATTATTTTTTCCCAACAATATTAAGCCTGGTAAGATACCAATATAAAAGAGATTTCACTTGGAAAAATATTGAGTGTAATCAACGAAGGATATTCTAAAATACTGACTAAAAGGTTATTTTTAAATGATATGCTTTTATTTCAAGACTCCTTTGTCTTAAGTTTTCTAGAAATCTTCATAAACTATATTTCGAAAACATTCAATTCAAACCAACCGAAAATAAGAGAAATATTCGTATAACCCTGAGAAAATCATGACTTATACTTTATCCCTCTATTCTTTTATCGATATAATTTCGACCATTTCGATGCAAAAATTTAATTCCTCAAAAACAACGTATTTCTAAAATTATATGAATTGTGTGATATAGATCTTCAATAGAAGTAGCCCACCTTCAATTATATTGAATCGTAGATTAATGTATTTCACAGGGCCATGCTTTGTCAATGATGTCACGACACGTAAATGCCATGATCAAACTTGTGTAAGTGAATATTGGAGTACTATCAACAACTATACATTTCGATGTCCTATTGAAGTTGAAACTGGACTAAAGGTATACATTGACACTTATTTCATACCCATGGTGGCAAAGGGTAAAACAGATATTCGATATTGTCGTGATTATAACTTGGCGTACGAAACAGTTTTTAAAATGTGTGATCAATTGATTTTTGAATATTATACAGAATGAAGAAGATATAATTGTTCATATATGATTGATATCACTATTGTAGTCATCTTCGAATTTTTTAGTTGTGAAATGTTATTGTTGAACAGTAATCAAGTTCAGAGGACATTTAAGGAGGTAAAAATGATCAAATACATATGTCGTTACAAACAATGCAATAGTCGACAAATTTCTGATAAAATGAAGAGCATCATCGAGAAACACTACAATCTATCATCGATGAGAAACGCATTGGGTATCGATGATAGAGAGAAAACAACAACAGCAAGTGGATTATTATCTAGCATAATTTTGGCAACAGCCATCAAGTCATCACCATTTTCAATTATTGGTATAACTTTAGATTTCACACGATTATCAACATCGACGATTACCATTCCATCTCAAGAATCCACTGAACCATCAATGCCGGTGGCTACGAATCCATTTCGAGAATCCGCTGAACCATCAATGCCGGTGGCTACGAATCCATTTCGAGAATCCACTGAACCATCAATGCCGATGGCTACGAATCCATTTCGAGAATCTACTGGACCATCAACATCGAGGCCCACTATCTTATTTTCACAAGCACAAATTCCTGAAAAATATTCAACTTATAAAATTAGTCGACTTTCATCAATAACTCATGTTTCAACAATAACAACTACAATGATATCAGGAACTAATTCAGTTACAAGATGTCTTAAGAATTCGATGAATTTCATCTTGTTCACAACTCTAGCTAATCTGATATTCGCTAGTTACAAATATATGATCAAATGACTGATGATAGAATGTGGGTGTTATTTTTATCAAAACACACCATCGACACCCACACCCTGGCATTCCATAAACCAAGACAGTATTCGTGATGAATGAGACGCATAGTGGATCCGATGAATCGGCAGATTTTTCATCCTGTTAAATTTTAGGTTGAAATATGATTCTAAAAAGTGATTTAACAGTCTCAACTCCTCTCCGTAAATTGATGTTAACTATTTAAATACATAAATAAATAGTTGTCTGAAATACGCATTTTAGTTGAGAAAGTTTAGTGCCATCCTCTCAAAAGAAAATAATTTGAATGGCATTGTGATCATGAAAAATTATGGTAACTTTGTTAATCATGACTAAAGATGGTCCACGTGGGCGCGAGTATGAATGTCATAGCTCAGGTGACCCACAGACAAATAACCGCACCAAGAACTGTATCTTATGTTTTGTTTCAACGAAAACTTACCTCACAAACTGCGTCCTTGTCATAATGTTTTAGGTTTGCTTCAAATATCGTTTGGTGTTCTAGTTATACTATAAAAACTGATGAAGGTGTCTTGTCTTTTTGAATCTATGCTTACAGATAAGAGAAATATTTAAAAAAAAAGAAAAAGAAACAAGATATTGAAAGAAAAGAGTCAACAATAGACAACAAGATTTTGACACAATGGAAAAAATAATTTTAATTATGTGGGTGTGGATCGGGCGTGTGTGGATGTGAGTGTGAATCATGTGTTGAGAATACAGGCGTGCCCACACCCATTTCAGTTATTTTTATGTAAATTATTTTTCACATGCATGGTAACAGTATTATCAAACTAAGAAAAGAATGATGTATAAGAGGTCTTTAGTCAATATACACTCGGAATAATACTTGAGATTTTCATTTTAAAGATTTCATTTTAGATGCTCTTTTGATCAGTAATAAACATTGAGATTAAATTATTTTAGAATGCAAAGTTCGATGCATAATGAAAAAAATCTAACTGATTTGAATAATTTTTAGCATGAGAAGCAAATGCTAAATTGTTGACAAATACAATTTTGGAACTTCTAAAAAACCTATATTGGTGAAAATATTCGTTGTCACTTTGTTATAGAATTTTACTTTTTCTAAAATTTAAAAAGAACGATGAAATAAATTTCTTCTGCATAACTGTATAATAAACTCAATTTTTAAGATCAAAATTGTTCGTTGGCAACGATCTTTTTCTTCATCTTTCTAACACATTTTGATTGATGACAACAACATTGACACTTACTAGAATCGATTTGATCAAAGAAATTTTCAAAAGAAAAAGCAAGCGAAAGAATCAATACACGGCAGGCGTGTTGTTCACATTCGTACTCTCAAAACAAGTTTCGAAACAATTTTCTAATGTAATTTCTATTCTCTTGTTGTGGTAATGTCATAATAAATAAAAACCAAAAAAAAGCAAAGAAAAAAGTTATTTTTATATTTCTCAGTTGACTCTATATTGTTATAATTACCACATTGTTGAAGTAAAAGAAAGAGAGCCATCATCGAACTCTGTATTATTTTTTTAACATTTACATCTATATTCGAATGAAGATACACAGAACTTTGTTAATATTGATGACTTCTTTTTCATTTTATTTAGATGTCATCTAAACAACAACAAGGTTTATCATCTCATCGTATTCGGGACTCGTCTGAACTCAGTGTTGATCATCTCAACTGTTCTATTTGTCAAAAATTACTTTGGAAACCTGTTGCCTGTCAATCATGTGAAACACCTTTCTGTTCAGCATGTATTTATCAATGGTTGATCAACAATCCAAAAAAGTGTCCAAATTGTGATGAAAACTACATTGAACGAGAATGCCCTCCATTTGTTACTAAGCTACTTGCTCAATTGCAGATTGCTTGTTTTTATGAATCTAATGGTTGCAAACAAGTATTTAGAGAATGATCTTATTTTCATCTATACATTTTTATTACTTTTCATAGATCATTCCATATGAAAGATTAGATAAACACGAGACTGAATGTGGTTTCCAGTATCAGCAATGTCCTGGTTGTCAATCACAAATATTGAAAAAAGATTTCGATAACCATACGAGTAGCTGTGCATCAATTGAATTAACTTGTCAAGATTGCAAACTCATATATAAAAGAGGTGAAGCTGCTAAAAAACATACAGAAAAAATTTGTGTGAAAGAACAACTTCGACAACTTCGAGATGAATGTAAAGAGAATAAACGTGAAGTACACGAACTCACTCTTCAATTGGATGAAATTCGCATATTGAGTGAGTGAATAACTATATTACATTTTGGAATAAATATAATGAGTTTAGAGCCATCGATCACAACAATTAGGATCACATTTAATGATTTACCAAAATCTGTTGATCAATTGAAAAACATTCCGAAAAAGTATAGTGGACTGAGATGGAGTAGGATTGCATATATGCACAAATCCTATGCAATGCTGAAATATCCAAAAAGTGCATATGCAACATCCTTCATACCTGATGGTAGTTCATACATTGCATATTTCCAGGATAATGCATCAATCAGTGCCGAGAACTCAAACGAACAATTTACTTTATTTTCTGTTACTGCATGTGCTGCTTCGAACGATGATCAACAATTAACCATTATAGGATATCGAAATAATGAAGAGATCAACACACATACAACAACACTTCTCTTTGGTAAACCACAATTTATTCTACTTCATTGGAAAGACATAGACAACATCATCTTTAATTCATTTGGTGGTACTGCTCATCCTGATTGTAGTGCATCGCCAGGGTGTCAAGTTATACTAACTCAGCTCACAATAAGTCAAATTGATTGAAACGTACATTTTCTCGCTCAATGAAGTATAAGTTTTTACGTGCTCTAAATATCAAAGACTCTTCATCATGAAAAATAAAAATGCATTGTGATTCACGATTTAATGGCTTGTGGATATGGGTGTGTGTCTACTGTTCACCCATCCATATCCACATCCACCTTTTTTCCCAGATTTTTTTAGATGTTGTGATTTTCCTATTTTTGACTAAAAATCCTGACTTTGTCCTGATATTTCATGATCCATCTTCGTAGAACTATATATAGGTCATTATGCCGTACTATTTTGTCAACATTTCGTTATGATTTATACAGAAACATTTATAGAGTATTCTATACAAATAAGAAAGATAACACTTAAATTATATTTATTTCAATCATTCGTATTTTTTTTGTAATTAGTTTAACTTTCCAATATATTCAATAAATTGATTTAACAAAGTAACTATTTTAGCATAAGAAGTTTTCATAAATACTTCTGCGATACCAATGTGATAAAATTTTCAATCGTTCATGGTTGCCAAGAGTCCTGTGTTACTCATTTATTCTAAACTTTTAGTTGCTTTACTCATTCTTCTTGTAAATTCTGTTATTCGTTTTATTAAATGAAGTTCTATTTTTTTTTCAATCGTTTATGTTCAGTATCAGGACGTCATTTTCGATTGGCAGCAATAAAAAAAAACTTCTTTGGCCCTAATGAATCTCATACAAATAGACGTCTTCAAGGTTGTTCTATCTAATGATGAAAACTGATAACTGGTTTTCAAAATGGAAAACTTTCACAAGAATATTCATTTGAAACAATATGAGCTAAATGTGTTATTAATCTTGAAAGATTAGATTTTATTCAAGAGGATTCGATGAAATAAGTTATTTTATATGTAGACATTTATAATAATCTCTATCCGCCCTTTTCATTATGCCAATAAATAATGATAATCGGAAAAGTTCTGATTTATCTTTCTGTAATTTGTATATGTGTACTATTGGCCATCAATAGTAGCTTCTCCAATAAATAAATCAATTTTGCTCAGTTCTCAAATGAATGTAGTACCAGTTTTTGAAGAATATTGGATTACTTCTTCATTTTCTGGTAAAATTCGTGATAGCAAGATGTATGAACGGTGAATACAAGATATGAAATGGTGATAAAATTTATCATAAGATAGAAAAGGATAATCGGATTCTGCAGTGAAATTTTATATTTGAGAATTAATTTTTAGTGAATGAGCTTGATATGATGGTATTAAAGATCTTTCCTATTAAAAACAACTAATAAATTTTATGATAAGATTCGCCATTCGTGCGTATACAAATTCGTATACGCACCAAAAAAAAATACTGAAATGAATGCTAAAGACAAAAAAGTTCACTATTATTTATTTAAATAACTATCCAGACCAACCATTAGAATAAAACGATGAAGGTCTATCTATTTGATCAAATATTGATGGGATTATATTATCATCATATTCAAATGTTTGCATACCAATATTATCAATTGAATTCAAATAAGGATACTCATGGTTACCATCAGTCCAAACAATAGATGTTGGAAAGATATACTAGAAGATATATCAATAAGAATTTACCGATGAGGATTTTAATTAATCTATTCACTGAGCTTTTAAAAATTAATTGAACAGAGCGTCGAGACTTGCGTTAGTGAATACGATCAGTCCTTTTCATTTCAGTTGGAATTTTTTTAATTCGCCAATCCAATTCATCACAGTAATCATCGTATTTCTGATACTCACAGACATCTAAACTGTATTCAGATTTCAGTTAAGTTATTAATAAAGTCTTTGAAGTACAATCTTTACTATTCTGCATTTTTTTGTGAATAATCTTCGGACAACAATTTTCCGTTAATTGCAATTCTTGCCTATGCATTTAAATTGTTAGGAAATGAACAAGAATCTATAATTCATTCCAGATCTTCAAACTTTCATCAGATCTACCCAATATTTTCCGTGAATAGATGATAAACACTATTGTTATCATATTTCCAAAATAAAAAGGATACGTAGGGCATACCAAAATTAGTGACGCCGACAATATTATAATATCTTACAGAAGACTTCAAGGAAATTTTCTTTCTATACATACTGATAGTCCAAATCATGTTCTATAATTCTGAAGGTATACTTTGAAAAATGAGTTTTAATTATTGCACTGAATCAAGACAGATTAGAACCGAACCAAAGAAATAAGTTGTAATTGTAATCCAGCACCCCTACCAACACTTTTCGCTCATAGCTACACGACATCCACACTATCCTGCAGTTCGACATCATTTAGATGTCATTGCTTACAAATCTCTTTTTGCTATTTTCTATTTCGATAAGATACTTTTCACCATTTTTACTTTTCAACATTTTACTACTAAAACCGTGAAAAACGACTTTGCAAAGAAAGTTCTAGTTCAAGTGAAATTTAACTATTTGCAAATTAAATCTTTTATTTAATGTTTAAAACTCAAAATAGAAATAATTGGGTGTGAGTGTTGGTGCCTGGATGTTTGGATGTGGTTCCATAGATTACAAATACCATAGTCACAGCCACACCCTGTAAGTTATATTTCTTCTAACAATTTTGTGTCTAATCAAGCTTTGAGGTAGTATATCGTTGAAGAAAAACTTTGTGAAAAATATTCTTGTTCGCTGAAATGTTAAATTCACTCAGCAGAATATTAGAACTAAGTTGCCTTATCCAAATTCTTGCATAAAACTGAATTCGATTTATAAAAATGATGTGTCAATATTATCGATTCATGATGTTCGATAGACTAGAATTCATTTACGCATGATCATCTCATAACTAGGTGGTGGTTCTTCATAATCCAGATTTGACGTCGCTTGGCGAAATAGATCTGAAGAACTAAATGGATACCCAGGAGTGCTCGAAACTGGAGCACTAGGAATTGGTTCTTCAACACAACGCACAGTTGAAATCATAGAACTAGGTGTGACCTGATTTGCCCTATTGTTGCGATAAATAATACGTTGAATCCATTTTTTCTTTAAGCATATGAAAATTCCAAAGATGATGGCGATGACAAGTGAAGCCACGACCGAAATGTAAGGGAGTTTTGACTTGATGTGCGGCTTACTTTTGGACGTCGTAGAATACATATCGGTCCAACTATCTAAAGAAGAAATGCAAGAATAGATTTTAGAATTTTTGATAGTATTCGAAAATAGCATGCCCTATGAATAGAACTACGTAGATTGTTGAACTTATTCTGTTGAAAATAATAGTCAAAATCTTTTATTTAATTTGTACTTGTCAATAACCAAGAATTCATTTAGAAACTCAATACATACAGTCTCTTATTAAGCAACACTAATGACTACATCATTCAGTATGTAACTTGAATCAGTGATTTTCTAATATATTTAGAAAAAAAGAAAATCAATAAATTAGTCATTCTATGCTTATTCACCAGCTTCTGCAATGAATTTTATCAAATCTTTACTCATTTTAATCTTGACGAACGTTGGAATATATTATTATAGAGAACTTGTATTTCGTAGGCTATCATAAGTCTAAGTCTCTATAGAGGAAAACTTTTGTCTAAATCTGAATAGTTTTGAAGCAAGTATCCCCAATAATATTTGCTATTAAAAGTATGTGATAAAATGTTGTACAAGAAACAACAAGCTTGCTAATGTTTTAGTCTTGGAATTACACTTATCGTTTTTTTTTCAGAGAGAATATCATTTGAAACGTGTTTAGTTGATGTGAAATGTGCAATGCTTGGAAAATGATCCGTTTCTTAAAATTTGTTTCTGATAAAAGTTTGGTTAAAAATAATTGAATTTTGCATAGATCATTCGATATAAAAGAACTTATGATCACGATTGTATATTGTTTATACAAGATAACATAGTCAAAATATTATAACAATGAATCTAAATGTAATAATCATCATAAAATACTCACCTGAAGCATGCGAGATCATTTCAATACCTGCATATTATTTAGTCAGAAAGAAAAAAATCAATAGAAATTCAGAAGGTTTGCTTTCATTTTATACGAACCATTAGAAGTTATCAAATAGATGAATATGCATGACAGTAGTTTCAATCAGAACTCTCAAAAATATCATGCTTTCACTTGAAGAGAATAAAGAAAGGATAAATGAGAATTATATTTTTTATGCCTAAGATAAAATGATGTAGATTACTATTGTAGGTATGGATGGCAAGAGAGAGAAATCATACACACACATCCTAAAAAATGATAAATCCAATAGAGAAGCAAAAGACTTGACATTATGGGTGGCGCTCGATCTTTTCACATGTATCTGCGTTGCTTATGCTAGAGTAAAAGATTTTGATCGCAGCAGTAGAAATTAAAAGATTAACTCATGTTCAGCTATTCGTTGGGACTATCGATCTATCATCTATATCAACTTTCAACTGATGATATGAAAAAAAAATGCAATAAATTCCT